TCTCAAAAATAAATAAACGTTAAAAAAAAATTTTGTTTTAAAGAGCTAATATTTATGAAATAGTGGCTATGTGCCAAACGTGGTTGTACATATATCACTTCCTCCATTTCATCCTCACAACAACCCTACAAGGTACACACATATCGGCATCAACCTCGCTGTGCACGTAGGGCAACCACAACTCAGAGAGAGGAGGCAAACTGCCCGATCACACAGCTTATGAGGGTCAGAGCTTTCTCTCCTGGAACAGTTATACTTTGAGATTATGATTCACGAGTTCAGTCTCTCTCCTCTTCATCTACAAACGTCCCCTCAAAAAGCAATTCAAACTAAAATACAAGTGTCGTCTCTACACAGAGCTCGTATCCGAGCGCCGCCTCCCCACCCCCACCCCCCCACCCCAGAAGGACATGAGTGATAGAGCCTGGTGCTTCTTGAGATCATTCTTCAACTTTCGGGAGAACGTGCATCTCAAAGTACTTGGTGATTGTCTGAACTGTGACTCAGAATCCTTCACAACCCAACACTCCAGACAACTGGGTAGGAGGCCAAAGTCAACTTGCCATCTAAGGTCTACGGTAGAAAACAACAAAAGCTAGTACTCTGGGGATGCCTGGCTGGCTCAGTCGGAGCGCGTGACGCCTGGTCTCAGGGTCGTGAGCTCAAGCCCCGTGCTGGGCGTGGAGCCTACTTTAAAAAAAGGAAAAAAAACAAACAAACTAGTACTCTGTGCAAAAGAAAGCTTGTGATCAATTTAACAATGTTTGCCTTGGTCGCAGGCCCCCTGACTCCTCATCTGGTTCTCCTTCTCCACTTCACATCGCACCTGGGGTGCGCGTAAAACTAGAACACCCATCTGCCTTCTGATTCTCCAGCTTTCCAAATGAGCGGGCCTTTTGAAAAGATAAAGAATCCGTGATAACAAAGAGGACTGTAGACTTCTTATTCTGGGGCAGCATGGACTCTTCCATTAACAAATAAAGAACTTCTCAAGAGAATGCACCAGTTACAAGGGGACCACTTACGTTCAACAGATCCGGGCCATTTTCCCCTTGTGGGTCCCCCACCCACCAATCAGTGTGAAAGGCACGTGCGCCGTAAAAGAAAGGCCATGGGTCGTGGTTGTTTGTTGACGTTTTCAGACATACCTTTAACATGTGATACCTCTCGGCACGAAGCGCAAGGATTTCTTCTATTGAAGGAATATCATCTGGCAGTTCTGTCTCCGCCAGTTCAGTTCCAAAGGACTGTAACATCTGAGCCATTTCCTTCACTGTGAGAGCAAAATTTTCTATAGCCTGCAAAGACCCAGTGATCCTTTTAATTCCATGGAAACTGCCAGCACATCAATACCTAGATCAGTAACTGTACTCACTTTCATCTAGGTATGACAACAAGCACATATACTATGACCTCTCTTCTGCTAAGGAAAGTTGGCATTGCCCTTGGCAATCAACGCTACCTTTGTAGCTAAGCCTCTACGAAACTGACGTGAGGTTAAAGAGTCTTCTTGAATGTCTTTTATCTAAACTTCTGTACTCATTTCTTGAACGCCAATGAGAACAATGTCTTTGTTTTAAAGTTTCTTTCTTTTTTTCTAGTAATCTCTACACCCAGCGTGGGGCTCGAACTCACGACCCCAAGACTCGAGAGTCGCATGCTCCTCCGACGGAGCCAGCCAGGCGCCCCTGAAAACAATTTCTTAAAGATGCCATGGACTGAGTCATTCGCTTTCTGACTTTGTTTAGGTCTATCCCATTAGACCCTGCAAATGTAAAATTACTTTATACTAACTTTACTTTGGAAGAGAACATCAAAGCCACCGGACATTTATTATAACTTATGAGCAAGCATTAGCATTCCAACAAAGCAATGCACAGGGTGATGGGGGAACAAACTGGCCACAACAATTCATTCAGGCACAAGACTTGAAATTGTGATCACGAAGGTTCGGTCGCCCTCAAATGTCAAGTCGCGTTGCGCTGTTGATTGTTTCCAAAATCAACTGCTCAGGAAGAGAAAAGTGGGGTGGGGCGGTGGGGGGGCAACCCGTAGAGACCTTATAAACCCTCTGCTTACCGTGCAGCTCGAGGTGATCTGCTCTTTCGTTTGCAGTTTTAGAGGTTATGAAAGGCTAGACACTAATTTTGACGATACACTTTCGTATGAACAAAAAGAACTGCTGAATGACAAAGATGAGGAAAACAGGATCCTGATTGAATGAGAAATCATTTCCTTCAGAAGTTTCCCTTATCGCTGGGATCTGGGACAAAGATTCTTCTAGTATAAACTCACATCTGCGAGGCACAGGGTCTTTGCCTATTTGCCAATTTCTAGAACCGAACGAAACTGTACTGTAATCCTAACTGCCTCAGAAGCATCGCTAGGATGACATGAATCGTATTACTTAGCATGTTTTGAGGGCTTGTCATCTGTTAGGCACTGTGCCACACAATTTACATTTGTTATCTCATTTAATCTTCCCAATATCCCTATGACGTAAAGTAGTATTATTCCCATTTTATAGTTGGGAAAACTGAGAGCCAGAGAGGCTATATAGCGTGCACAAGGTTACACAGCTAAAAATCAGCAGTGCTGAGGTCTGAACCCAAAACGCTTTGTTTCTCCAAGTTACTACATGGCCACCGGAGGCAGTGGACAGAGCACGATCGCCTTACTCCCTAGGCCTCTCCTTCAATTGCCATCCTCAGTGCCTCTTCATCATTTCTAGATATTTCCTAGGGAAGAAAATCAAGATGTTGAATTATATGTGTTTGAAAAACAGGAGCCGCAGCAAGCTGTCTTTCCCAAAGAGGAGAACAATGCCGGAACTAGATTTTAAAGGCTAATATGAACCACAGGCTCTACAGTAAGAGCAAAGGCAACATACATTTCTGAAGATGATCCATTCACTGTTGGAGTACTGCAAGGTGCCGCCTAACTCAGGGGTTAACTGCTTGTCATCAATGTATGTCAGCAAATCACTAACTGAGCTCAGCATAACCACCTATATAAATAAGCAAGAGAGATACTGTTAACTGCCCTTCACGGCATCCCTCCATTCAACTGTACAATGAACTTCAGCATTTCCTTAGCACAAAGTTACCTTTTGCAAATGGTTCTAATAGTTCTCTCCTGTACACCCTCCCCCGCCCACATCCGTCTGCACTACGTTCTTTGGTAATAACAGTTTTCACATACGAAACATTTCTCTGTAAAGCAAAGTTAATCTCCATAGAAACCCAAATCGCTGGTTCTCCTTGATCTAAAATTTTGCATTATTAATGGCCAACCTTCCGAAAGAATGTTATGCCTACAACGGAGGAAAAGGGCTTTCTGTAGTAAGTTATAACTTATCAGGAGGGGCTGATCTTCGCAAAAGTACCATAATTTACGAGGACTCTATCCCTAACCCTAAATAAACGTATAAAAATATATTTTAAAAAAAAGATCATGGTACTATGAACTAGCTCAGGATGCTAAGTTCATGGGAGTTCAAATACGTAAAACACATGCTCATTTTTTCCCTAAAAATAAAACGTCCTGATTTTATACACACACGCACACGTGCATATACACACACATAAATAACGTAGGTGACATAGATCTCATTCAACAGGGATTGCTTTGTTACAAATTGACGAAACTCTTCCTTTAGTTTAACAATAGAAACAGAAGACTTTGGGGGATTTCAAGTTTGTAGTTTGGGAAGACAAATTCTATTTCTTTTCTTTCAGATGCTTTGTGAGCACGGGTAAAGCATCAACAGCATGGTACAAAGTCCTCACAAGAATTAAAGAGACAAAACATTTAAACAATATACTCTTACTGGTAACTTCAGCATGAAATCCTCCTGACTAAATCGAAATCCAATGTCTGTGAAAGTCCTTTGAAGAAAACTGCTGGGACGTAGAACCAACACCAAGTGCAAGTTCCCAGGAAAAGAAACCTACGGAAAGGAGAAACGCAGGAAAGGAAGAACAAATCGTCAAAACGTGCACTCGACTGAGCACGCATCAGAAAATACGTAATTAAAGGAAACCGTTTTTAAAGCAATAAAAGCCACTAGAAGGACAAAACTTTAAAAATGGATATTGATACAATCTAAAAACTTGGAAACAGAAACAGAACTAATGTAAGGTCATCAGATCAGACCCTTGCAATGTTCATGGCGGGGAATTTTCTCACACAAAAGTAGATCCCAAGTTAAGAAGAACTATACTTTTTTACAAAATAAATCTAGGTTTTTATTTTATTTATTACCTTTTAAGCTTATTTCTATTTTAGTCATCCCTACCCCCAACATGGGTCTTGAATTCACAACCCCAAGATCAAGAGTCACACGCCCTGTCGACTGAACCAGCCAGGCACCCCACGAACCATACCCTAAAACTTCATTTTTTTTAAAAAAAATGTTTTTAATGTTTACTTTTGATGGGGAGGGGGACAGAGAGAGAGAGGAGACACAGAATCCAAAGCAGGCTCCAGGCTCCAAAGTGTCAGCAGAGAGCCCGACGCGGAGCTCGAACCCATGAACCGTGAGATCGTGACCTGAGCCAAAGTCGGACGCTTAACCGACTGAGCCACCCAGGTGCCCCTGAAACATCATTTTAAAGTTAGTCATTTGTATTTGAATTGCATTTATTCCCTGTGAAACGGAATTAGAACGCAGGTTCCTAGGATAACCCCAAAAGTCAAAGGGAGCTTAAACATTATATACATGTACTAAGCAATGGAAGAAACCTGTGATATGGAATCATATTTTTATTTTCATCCAAGCAACATTCACAGAGTCTCTTCTACATGTCCATTCCATGTACCTAAGCGAACGACTGTCGCGCACTGTTAGCAGTCGGTGTCCCCAAATTAATAAGATGTAGTCCCTACCCAGTTTGCAAGAAAATCAGTCTAATAGTGCAGTCCATTAGTAATCGTTAACTCTATAGCACAAGTTGATAACTGAAACAAAGGAAGTAGAATAATCCACAACAGACGGTCAAAACGGTCTGTTTGAAGCCTAAGAAAAGGAATTACTTAGATCAGAATGTCATTCTGGTGCACCAATGTTTCCCCCGTTTCCAGAATACGGACATGTAGGTGGTCAAGAAATAGTTGCTGAAAGAAAGACAAGGAGGGTGGGCGCCTGGGTGGCTCAGTCAGTTGAGCATCTGACTCTTGATTTTTGCTCAGGTCATGATCTCACAGTTCACAGGATCGAGCCCTGCATCAGGGTGTTCGGTGACAGCATAGAGCCTGCTTGGGATTCTCTCCTTCCCTCTCTGCCCCTTACCCACTTGTGCTCTATCTTAAAATAAATAAACATTTTTTAAAAAGATAAGGAGGGGACGATGGAAAATTAGCGAGAGACAGAACAGTATGGCCCAACGTTAATAATGAACTACCATATAGCAAATGCTTACTCTATGCCAAGTATTTTGCCAATGTTATCATAGTTCCTCTTCATAATAATCGTGTGAGGTAGTTAAGCTAGCGTCTTTTACAAATAAAGCAAGCGGGGGCGCCTGGGTGGCTCAGTTGGTTGAGCATCCAACTTCAGCTCAGGTCATGATCTCACGGTTGGTGAGTTCGATCCCCACATTTGGCTCTGTGCTATCAGCACAGAGCCTGCTTCAGATTCTCTGTCCCTGTCTCTCTTTTTCCCTCCCCTGCTCGCTCTCTCTCTCTCAAAAATAAATAAACATTAAAAAAAAAAAAAAAAGACAAAGAAACTGAGGCTCAGAGAGTTTAACTTGCCCCGGCTGGTGAAGTCTTAATCTATGCCTGCATCAGGGCTCTTTTTTTTTTTTTTTAATGTTTATTTTTGAGAGAGAGAGAGAGAGAGAGAGAGAGAGGCAAAGAGAGAGGGAGACAGAGAATCTGAAGTGGGCTCCTCACTGACAGAGGCACAGCCCAATATGGGGCTCCAACTCCCCAACCGCGAGATCACGACCTGAGCCGAAGTCGGACGCTTAACCCACTGAGCCACCCAGGACTAGATTTGGACAAGAGTGGAGGCAGACAGACGAGCTAGGAGGTGGGTATTAACAAAAAGAGGAACTTTCACTCAGGTTTAAGACCTAGACTCTTGGGAAATACACGTTTGAAACTGGGGATATTTTAAATTCAGTTTGAGGGGTGGCTGCCTAGCTTAGTCGGTGGAGCGTGAGACGCCTGACGTCGGGGTTGTGAGTTTGAGCCCCACGCTGGGTGTAGAGGTTACTTAAAAATAAAATCCGTAAATACAACTTGAGACGGTGATAAAGCATCAACAGTTAAGTGGCCATGAGAACCAGAGCAAGGGAAGAGGACCGAGTGGGAGACTCACAAATAAGTGAAAGAGGTCAAAATGAAATCAATAAATTAATCAATGATTATAAACAGACACAAATCGGGCTGGCTGTCCAACTCCGAACTCCCCCAGGCGGCCGTGCCTCTGCTACCCTCTCCCTTCAGGAGAGACTTCTTCCCCTCTCGCAGGTACTAAATGGTTATGTCCCCCAAAGTTTGTGCTGAAACCCAGCCCTCAATGTGATGAGAACGGAGCCATCATAAGGGGACTAGTGCCCTCATAAAAGAGACCCCAGAGAGACCCCTCACCCCTCCTGGAGCCTGCTTCAGATTCTGTGTCTCCCTCTCTCTGCCACCCTCCCCCGCTCCCACCGTGTCTCTCTCAAAAATAAAGATTTAAAAAAAAAAAAAGAACTGTGATCTTCCTACATGACCTTGCCCTCCTAACACACAGCGATTAGTAGTGGGATGAAGTCCTGCCCTGGGATTTTTCACACCAGTGTTGAGGGAAGAACACTTTGAGGGTGCGGTTCCAGAGCTGCCGGTCGCCGTGAACCTGCTGGAGAAAACTTACTTCAAAGCATGCAGCTAACATGCGTATAGAACCAGAAGCAGAGACAGGGTCCCAACGATGCCTCTATGATGTACATAGTGTGTATTTTATGTTAAACATGGTACGTACTTCCTATAGTTATCATAAGAATTAAATTAAATAATGAACACAGAGGAACTTTGTTAAGCCCCAAAAAAAAGAAGATAGGCTTTAAATTTTACCTTGCATTCTTGGATCTAAAGACAAGTAGGCTTAGGTAGAAAACTTCCAGGATATTGATAAAGGCTTGCTTTTTTTTTCATTTGTTTAAATTCAAGTTAGTTAACATACATTGTCGTATTGGGTTCTTTTAAGTTTTTTAATTGACTTAGGGAGAGAGAGAGCGCACGCGCGCGCGCGCAGGGGAGGGGCAGAGAGAATCCCAATTCTCCCTCGATGCAGGGCTCGATCCCACGACCTTGGGATCCCAACCTGAACGGAAATCAAGAGTTGGATGCTTAACTGCCTGAGCCACCCAGGGGCTCTGATAAAGGCCTGCTTAAAGGGGAGACTCTGACAGAGCCTTGGGAGAACTCCGGACCTATTTTTAAATTTTTTTTTTTAATGTTTATTATTTTTGAGAGAGAGACACACACACAGAGCGCGAGCGGGCCAAGGGCAGAGAGGGAGACACAGACTCCAAAGCAGGCTCCAGGCTCCGAGCTGTCAGCACAGAGCCCGACGCGGGGCTTGAACTCACAGACCGCGAGATCATGACCTGAGCTGAAGTTAGTTGCTTAACCAACTGAGTCACCCAGGTGCCCCTCTGGGCCTATTTTTAGATAGAAAGCATAGATTCTACTTCGTTCGATGCCATTTGCTTTAGGAGTTAAGCCTCTCCTTCTTCTTCACACGGGTAAGTTCCCAAAACCATTATACTTTCCTGCCTTGACCCAGCTGCCTTTCCACTTTTTTTTTTTTCTTTCAGATGGAACTGAAAGCACCCGACCTCTGTCAACACTTATGGCAAAATGTGTTTTGTTCTTTCATGGACCCTAGGTTGATCTGGTCTCATCATCTTTTTCTCTCGGACTTTCCTTAACACCATAGTCTCTGGTATCACATAGGAAATCTCTAGGTGGCCCTAAGCCTGACCAACTTAAAGCCATTGGTCTCTAGCCTGCCACGCCCGGGAGAGCAAGGTTGTCCCAGCACCTAGGTCCAAGGTCCATCACACGGCAGGGAACAAAGGAGAGAGGAGAGAAAAAGCAGATTCATGGTCTATAGAATCCACAGGGAAGCAAATCCAGGCAGGGTTTGGGGGTGCTCCGCTGCTTAAAAGTCAGGGATGTTATGTAGCTATTATTTTTAACATTTTAACCATCTCATTTAACTGTCTCGTTTACTTATTTATTTCTTCATCTATTTATTTATTTAAGTGATCTCTTACACCCAACGCGGGCCTTGAAATCACGACCCTGAGACCGAGAGTCGCACGCTCTTCCGACTGAGCCAGCCAGGCGCCCCCGTTTACGGAATCAGTCATTGCCTATATTTGACAAAGTGGTTTGCCCCAAACATGGACACCTGGAAAAAAAATCCTTCTAAAGAGAATTCTACATTCTAATCATATCATGCTTAAGGAAAACTTCCTGATTATTCTGCCATACGTTGTCCTTCCTTAATTCCTTCAAAATGTTTAGGGATTCACTTGTGGCCAAAAGCCCACAAAAATTAGCATTTTTAAAGAAAATGCATCATCAAGGATGAAAACTTCAGTTATTGCCTGCATACTTGCATTTACAGTGTTTTTCATGATGGGATAGGTAGAGAATCTTTATTTCGCGACCACACAGATCGTCCTGGAACACACGGGCTCCGTTAAACTAACAGCTACTCTCAAATTTAAAAGCCATTTAGAGGAATAAATCCATCTGACTGGTCGGTTATTTATTTATTTTTTTTAGAAAACGAAATCACACAGTTCAGACCACGTGTATGGTTTGTATCCCTCCCACCCATTGAATCCCCTGTGCTAATCGGATAGACTGGAGTTTTTGATCCCGGTCCCACTTATTTTCCCAAGCTAAAAAGGTGCTTGCCATATTTGTCTAGTTACAGCAAATCCA